AGGCAGTATCACTACAGAAGTAGGATTGCCCAACCTTCCTTCCGAGGAGTGGCTGGTGGGTTTGAACCGCCAGCCTTCTGGTTAGCAGTCAAGTTGTTGTTGTTGTTGTTGTTTGCCATCGAGTCGGCCCCGAATCATAGCAACCCCTCCATGGGTTTCCGAGGCAGCATCACTACGGAAGTAGGAATGCCCAACCTTCCTTCCGAGGAGTGGCTGGTGGGTTTGAACCGCCAGCCTTCTGATTAGCAGTCAAGTTAGGGAGCCCTAAAACTAAGTAGCCTGGTGACCATGCAATCCATGATTTCCATTTTTGGGTAAAATAATCCTTTCGCATTCCTTAGAGTTTTCAAGCATAATGGTGAAGAAAGATAAGAAAAAGTACAGTGAGATAAAAAGAAGGAAAGAATAACCAAAACTCAAGTGTCCATCAACAAAAGGATTGATAAATGAATTGTAGTACATTCATAGGATGGGAGAATATAAACAATGAAAGAAAACAACAGCTACAAACATTCTTAAAAATACGATGAATGAATCTTAAAAACAATGTTGAGGAAAATAAGCAATTGACAAAAGAATACATACATACAGTTTACTAATATAAATTTTAAAACAGGAAAAACTAAAGTATAATGTTTGGGGAGTCATCTTTTCATGGCTAATATGAAAAACTTTACTTACTAAATAGGTTTTTCTTTGCGATGGTGTTGAAATTAATATAAACTATTTTATGAATATTGGAAAGGAACTCTGGTGGTGTCGTGGTTAAGGAATTCGGCTGCTAACTGAAAGGTTAGTGGTTTGAACCCACCATTGTTCCATGGAAGAAAGCCGAGGTAATCTGCTTCCGTAATGATTTATAGTTTTGGAAACCCAATGAGAACTGATTTGATGGCAGTGGGTTTGATGTTTTTGGGTTTTGTACATTGGAGGATAGAGCAACAGAGTAAATACTTTGATGTTTGTGGAAATTAGAGATTTTTTTCTCTAAGTTGTTCTGCTCTAGATTTTATTGAGTCCCTGGGTGATACTATTGGTTAAGCACTCAACTACTAACTGAAAGGTTGGCATTTTGAACCCACCCAGAGCATTTAACTGCTAACTAGAAGGCTGATGGTTCAAACTCACCAGCCACTCCTCGGAAAGAAGGTTGGGCAATCTACTTCTGTAGTGATACCACCTCAGAAACCCAAGGAGGGGTTGCTATGAGTAGAAAAATAGACTCAATGGCAGTGAGTTTGGTTTTTTTGGCTTAGAGCACCTAAGCTAAAAGGTCTGGTGATCATAAGTCAAAAGGTCACAACCTTGAAAACTCTATGGAGTAGTTCTACTCTGTAACACATGGGCTGATCATGAGTCAGAATATACTTGATGGTAACTGGTTTTGTTTTGTTTTGTTACCTGGAGAAGGTTGTAATCTAGCATCTTTGGTCTTAGGCTACTATCACTTCATATCAATCTTAAAAAAAAAAAAAAAAAAAAAAAAAAAACTCTTCTTGGTATATTTATAAAATGACCTATGTGGTATGCTTCCTTTTACATAAGAAAAAGGAGAAGGCAGTGTAGTTTGACTCTATTGATAGAGAATAAATGACAGAGGTCAATGTGCTAAAAATGGAAGCAAGCTCTCTTAGTGGATTCTTTGTTCTATTCTGATTTTTGAACAATGAAATCTATTCTTTATTCAAGAATATTTTTTAAAAGTAACACTCTTTCTTGAACAAGGATAGCACTTAATAAAGTATATCTGTAAAAACAAATTCCAAAAAGAAGATCTATGAGTATTTTTCTAAACCATGTATGAACTTATTAGGATACAAATCAACAACTGACAGTCCAAGGAGATAAGGGGTACAGGACCAGTGCCTGGGAAGCTACCTTTCTTGTTCAGCTGCAAAACTGAAGGCGGAGGAGTGGCCACCTTCATGGCCAGGCCGTAGGCACCGCGGAAGGAATGGCTGTCCCGCACAATGAATGATCCAGGCTCCTTGTCTTTCAACATGGCAATGGCTAGAGGCATGGGAAAGAAAGAAATGAGTGTCTGCAGCATTAGACAAAGGCTATTTCCATTTGTGATGCTGAGAAGGTCCTCTTCTACTGTCTTGTGAGAACCATAACTAGATCCCTCCTGTGAAGGAATAACTTAGAATGGAGTACAGGGGCTTTGGGAGAGGTATTGTGGGATACAGTTTTCATGGGGGTACTGGCTATGAAGGAGGAAGGAAAAAGGACACCCTTTTGCTTAGCACCCACATGGGCAGGTGCTGCTTGTCCACATGACCTCTCAGCACCCTGTGAAGTCTGCATAGTTGGCCCACCTGGCAGCCTAGGAAGGCAAGCCTCCTCCCATGTAAATAACTAGACCTGCCCAAGCAGACACTGGTGTGGAACAGGAGGTTAGTACAAGCTGCCACAGCATACTCCTCTGTCCTCCTCACTCCATGGGTTGTTTTTCTTAAGACTTTAGAGCATGCACTTCCAAGAGGAAAAAAGGATATACCCAAAATGTTTCTTAGTGTTAAATAAAAATTCCAAGACACATCTCAGGGGACATTGTAACACTAGGCCAGCACTGACAGACTGAGCTCAGCCTATGCCTGTAGTATCTTCTCTCCATGGCATTGATCAGTCCGTCAAGAATGACAGCTGAGCCCACATCCCAGCATCGCAGGGAAGACTAGAGGGTATGCAGCTCACTGTAATTGATTTTCAAAACAAGATGAATGGGAAATTTCCCCCTTCATACTCAGAATCTGGCACTCCCAAGTCCTTGCCTCATTTTAGATTTAGAGAGAAAGAAGAGCTGTGTTGGCGTAATATGGACCCCAAGTTTGATGTTGCCCAGAGCCAGGAACGAATTTCCTCTGATAATTTAATCATGGACTTATAACTTTCTTTTTCTTTTTCTTTCTTTTTTTGTGCTCCCTATGTGGTTTATTATATATAAGAAAATATAGGCATGCACACACATATCTGAATATACATATACATACATTGCTGTTGCTATTGTTAGGTGCCTTCAAGTCAGTTAGGACTCATAGCAACCCTATTTACAATACTCCCCTGTCCTGTGCTATCCTCACAATCTTTGCTGTGTTTGAGCACATTGTTGCAGCTACTGTGTCAATCCATTTCATTGAAGGTCTTCCTCTTTTTCGCTGACTCACTTTACCAAGCATGATGCCTTCTCCAGGGAATGGTCTCCTGATAACATGTGCAAATTACGTGAGACAAAATTTTGCCATCCTTGCTTCTTAGGACCATTCTTGCATACTTTTCCAAGACAAATTTGTTCATTCTTCTGGCAGTCCATAGTATATTCAATATATTTTGCCAACAGCATAATTCAAAGGCATTGATTCTTCTTCGGTTTTCCTTATTCATTATCCAGCTTTCACATACATATGAGGTGACTGAAAATACCAAGGCTTGGGTCAGAAACACCTTAGTTCTCAAAGTGACATCTTTGCTTTTTATCACTTTAAAGTGGCCTTTTGCAGAAGATTTGCCCAATGTAATAATAATTACTTTGATTTCTTGACTGCTGCTTCCATGGGTGTTGATTGTGGATCTGAGTCCAATGAAATCTTTGACCACTCCAATCTTTTCTCTATTTATCATGATGTTGCTTATTGGTCCAGTTGTGAGGATTTTTGTTTTCTTTATATTGTGATGTAATCCATACTGATGGGTGTAGTCTTTGATCTTCATTAATAAGTGCTTGAAATCCTCTTCACTTTTCAGCAAGTAAGGTTGTGTCATCCACGTATCACAGGTTGTTAAAGAGTCTTTGTCCAATCCTGATGTGGCATTCTTCTTCATAGAGTCTAGCTTCTTTGATTATTTGCCGAGCATACAGATTGAACAAGTATGGTGAAAGGATACAACCCTGTCACACACCCTTCGTGATTTTAAACCATGCATTATCCCCTTGCTCTGTTACAACGACAGACTCTTGGTCTATGTATCCATTCCTCGTGGGCACAATTAATATAATTCTCCTGTTAACTTCCCTTAAAAAATGCAGTTGGTCTTATATAGTAAAATGCCATACACTTTGTGGCTGGTTCAAACCATGGCTGCCTAGAACCTCTATTCTGTTCAAAAGGACAAAATGACTCCTATAAGCGTTTGTGCCAACAGTAGCTCTGGACCACTGTGTTGGATTGGGTTCTCTAGAGAAACACAAAAACCAGCAAAGTATATATATGAAACAAGGCGGGCTTGTGCTTACTCACTGATCTGCACTGAACACGTTTCCCTTGTTACCCTACTGAGAGGGA